TCACAATTGTTTTGTTCTGTAGCTAGCGATTCGTTGGGTGTGTGTATGCCTTTCATTTGTTGTGGCTATTCAGCCTACATGTAGTATATATGAATGCATGTATATCTCAAAGTATGGTCTTCCCGCGGTGTGTTATGTTCTGCCAAGTGAGCCTATTGATATGTATATACCTATATTGTTCCTGATTATTAACCTACACGCGTGTGGTGCGTGTATATGCATATATGTATCTCTGAGAAACCGTGTGGGATTTCTATCTGCCAGAGTACGGATACCTACCTTTAACACGAGGGGGAACAGGTACTACTAAGCTTGGGATTATATGTTAAAGTCTGTACTAAACTTAGGATGATATGTTATAGTCAGTACTAAGTTTAGGATGATATGTTAAGTCTGTACTATGCTTAGGATGATATGTTAAAGTCTGTACTAGGCTTAGGATGATATGTTAAAGTCTGTACTATGTTTAGGGTGATATGTTAAAGTCTGTACTAAGCTTAGGATGATATGTTAAAGTCTGTACTAAGCTTAGGGTGATATGTTGAAGTCTGTATTAAGCTTAGGATGGTATGTTAAAGTCTGTACTATGCTTAGGATGATATGTTGAAGTCTGTACTAGGCTTAGGATGATATGTTAAAGTCTGTACTAAACTTAGGATGACATTTTAAAGTCTGTACTAAGCTAAGGATGATATGTTGAAGTCTGTATTAAGCTTAGGATGATATGTTAAAGTCTGTACTATGCTTAGGGTGATATGTTTAAGTCTGTACTAAGCTTAGAATGATATGTTCAAGTCTAGCCTGTGGTTAGTGACGGGTATATGTTGCCCTGCCAAGTGTAAATCGAGTCTGTGCGAGTCCGATCTCAATATATTCCAGGTGCGACGAGTGCACCTTTCCTTCTCATTTTCGGTCCTGTTTTTCCTTTTTAGGTGCAACAAGTACACCTTTTCCTTCTCATTCCCGGTCCTGATTTTCCTTTTTAGGTGCAACAAATGCCCCTGTTGCGTACCCAGGTGCATCTGGATGCCCATGCCTGCAACTGGTCTAGTGGTGTTCCCATAGCAACCGCCAACAGCAGAGTGGAATGCGATTTCTTCAATCAGGTATGCGTATCGACTGGTTTACCAGTGTACTGTTGTATCAGTATATGACCGACTGTTGTCCTAGTGTCATTGTGTATTGAAATATCATTGACTATTTTATTAGTGTATCTTTATATATCTGTTTATAGATCAGAGGGTTCATGTATTAAAGGCTATTTATATATTAAAGGTTATTTATATATTGAAGGCTATTTATAGATCAAAGGCTATTTATACATTAAAGGCTATTTATAGATCAAAAGTCATTTAATTATTAAAGACTATTTATAGATCAAAGGCCATTTAATTATTAAAGACTATTTATAGGTCAAAGGCTATTTATATATTAAAGGCTATTTATAGATCAAAGGCTATTTATAGATCAATGGCTATTTATAGATCAAAGGCTATTTATAGATCAAAGGCTATTTATAGATCAAAGGCTATTTATTGCTCTGTGCTACCCTGCTCGATAACTGATGGCGACGTGTGTGTCAGGGTGGACACCACTGATGCAGTTCTTATGCTTGACCATGAAAATCTATATACAGGCCTTAACATACTACACTATTATGGGTTCTATTTATAGATCAAACGTACCTCCTGGGAGACGGTAGTCTAATCTCATGATTGATTGACCATGAAGTTCCACATACAGACCTTAACTTACTGTAACATAATGTGTTATATTTATAGATCAGAGGTACCTTCTAATTCCACATACAGACCTTAACTTACCACAATATAATATGTTCAATTTATAGATCAAAGGCACTTCTTGGGATACGGTAGCCTAACCCCATGCTTGATCGTAGCAATCTATACACAGACCTTAGCTTACTACATTAATATGTGTACTATTTATAGATCAAAGGTACCTTCTGGTAGACGGCAATCCACTCTTATGCTTGACCGTAGTCATCCATACATAAATCCTAACTTCCTAATATGGACGTTATATTTATAGATCAAGGGTACCTCCTGGGAGACTGTGGTCCAGCCCATGACCACGACCTTATCTGTGCGCCCGTACTCTATAACCAACGGTGGCATGTGTGTCATGGTAGACACCACTGAGCGGATTGAGATGACCGTAAGCTCATCGCTCACACACGCGCTGCTCAAGTGGTCAGAGGCCATTGCCACGCCCCTGCCAGTCAGAGTCAAAGACATCACATACCGATGGTTGCGTACCACGGATGTGCCGTGCAAGGTGTGGTGGTTGAGGGGGTTGGTGTTATA